TATATATATATCTTATATTTATACACATCTTAATATAGCTAATGTTATATCGAATATAGCTTATATTGTGATGACCCAAAATATCATCTTTAAATTTTATAAATAATTCAGTGTTCTAAGACCTCGAAAAGCACCATTTATCATTCCTCGACTTGTGTGCATAGTCCGTACAATTTTCCGGAAAGTTTTTATGTGAAAAATGGATTAAAATGGGAAATAGAGCTTTTAAAACTCAAGTGAGTTGACCTTAGTCAATATTTTTAGCAAACGGACCCGGATCAGTATTTTGACAGTTTCGGTAACTCCGTATCGTAATTTGGGACTTGGGCGTATGCCCGAAATTTAATTTGGAGGTCCCTAGCTCAAGTTATGACCATTTAACGGAACTAGCAATTTAAAGGCTAAATGTTTAAAGTTTGACCACGGGGTTGACTTTTTGATATCGGAGCCGGAATCCGATTCTGGAAATTTGAACAACTCCGTTATGTCATTTATGACTTGTGTGCCAAATTTGAAGTCATTCCGGATTCATTTACTATGTTTTGGCACGAGATTTGCAATTTGAAAGTTTAAAACTCAAAGTTCGAATCGGAGTGTGAATTGTAATTTCAGTGTTGTTTGACGTGATTTTAGACCTCAAGTCACTTCGTATTATGTTACGGGACTTGTTGGTATATTCGAGCGGGGTCCCGAGTACCTCGAGAGTGAAACGGATCGAAATCGGAACAAGAATTGGACTTAAGCAAAATCTGAAATTTTGAGTTCTGGTGTAATCGCACCTGTGGAATTTTGACCGCAGAAGTGAGACTTCTATCGCAGAAACGGTCTTCGCAGGTGCGGCCCTTTTGTTGCAAAAGCGGACGTCGCAGGTGCGACATTTTATCCGCAGGTGCGGAACCTCACCTGGCAGCCCTTCTTCGCAAATGCGAGACCGCAGGTGCGAAAATATAGCCTGTAAATGCGAAAATGCTGGGCAGAATACATAAAATCGGGTCTTAGCCATTTTTACTCATTTTTGAGTTTTAAGTCTCGGATTTGGGCGATTTCAAGGG